TTGTAAATTATGAAAAACACACGAGACCAAAATGAACACTCTGCTTAGTAAAGCAACAGAAATAAGACATGCTTAATAATTCTGATTGGAATTCTCAACCATGTGCATGAAATACTTAAAAGATGCTAATACATGAACACGCTACTTGCTCTCATAGAGGAGATGTTCCCAGTCCCTCAAATTCCACAAGCAGGCCGAGGAGGGGTGTGGATCGTACCATTAATCAATCAGCTCTACTCACTTATTCACTATACAACAATCAAAATTAATGATTGAAGGGAGCTGGAAAGGGCAGTTGAGAGCTTGAGTCAACTTGTAAAGATTTAAAGAAAGCAAATTAAAATGGCAGTGAAATGAGGACAGCAGCTAATCGTAATTACAAACCTAAAATCAGAGTAAAGCTTCAGTGAGGTTTTTCTCTCTCCCCACTACATGTTGCCTTTAGCTGAAGATAAATTGCCAGCATTTTTGTAATCTACTAAGTTAAAGTCATTACCCTGACAGTGCCAGGAAGTCTAATTTCCTGGAGCAGTAACACAAAGATTTATAAGTGAATTTAAACACTCACCTTCTGGAATAGAAAAATCTATCATCAGCATCAGACTACACAGAAAGCAACTGAGGATTTCAGATAATGGAGAAATTTCAGCTTCACCTGCTGACAAGCTTACCCAGAATCTTATTCCCTACCTACATTGGCTGCTGACCAGTATAAGTGTACACACAAAGCTGAACTTTCAAATAAATTCAGCTTTTCTGTGAGGTCCCTGCTGCAACAAAATAGACTTGTTCAACTATAAGCAGCCTTAGCACTAGTTTAGTATTTCTGCTTGACTCTCTCCCAAACTTACGTTCCCATTAAAATGGAAGTAATCTTAAATAATCCAAATGGAAATGATAAATTAATAACTGTTTTAATAACGGATTTAAAGGAGAGAATGAGTTAGCTCATCCACCAGGCTGAAACGTAACTGCACGTCTCCTTACAGATGAAAACTTTCAACTCCCTAACAAAACTGAAATCATAGGTGAACTTCAACACCCAAAGCACCTTAAAGCATCTAGTTTCGTGCCATCAAACGCTTTATGTGAATAAACAAGAAGTCATGAGATTTGCTTAAACCAAATAGCACAGCAGTCTGGATTTAATTAGGAATAGCCTGCTGATTCTATATAAAAAGCTGTTTTGGTCTTCTGGACTTTCTCTTCCCATGTTCCATAGCACTGATGAACAGAGGTGGACAATCTAACACCTTCACATCAGGAAGATTAGATGCGACAACCTTTATAACATCTTCAGAGGGCTGACGCATATCAGTGCTGATTCTTTTCAGAAAACCTTATCGTACAGTCTGCCATCTGAGACACTGCCTTCCACTCCAGATATGATTAATCCTGATTTCCCGCACCCCTGTGCATGAGCCTCCTGCCACTCTTCCTGCTTGGAAAGAAGGATTCTGTGAACAAAGCAAAGGAATTGTACTATGCTATGTATTTAATGTGTACACAGGAGAAATCAGCATTCACATTGTGGTAGTGCAGAGCACACACTGCAGGAACAGCCAACACCATCAGTGACCTACTTTATCTTGGGGAAGGGATTTCAGCAAGACTTTTTTTTTTCCTGCCCCCTCACAGAAGCAGCAATTTTTGAAAGTACTAAATTTAGCAAGGTCCTGAGGACAGCATTCATAATTTCTCATCAGTGATGTCCCCTTCTCATATGGCTCTATAAAAGCTTTTATCACTTGCCCCCAAAATTTATCCTCCCTCCCTCTGACTGTCAGAAAAAAACCCCATACGCTCCTTTTAACAAAGAGGAAACAAGAAGCTTCTTTTCCACAGTACTTCCTCATGAGGACAGCAGTACTCTGGACACTGCCAGAGCATATATATTTATTTTTTAATATCAGATGAGACAGCTTCTGAAAGCATTGCAAGTTCTCCCGTCTGACATTATCCAGTTTACCACAGATAACAACCCTGAACTGGAGGCTTTCCCCTGCCAGAATGCCTAGCACATAAAATTATTAAAGGCTTAGAAATGGTTTCAGGGCTGCTCAAATGCTGTGCTGCAGCAAAATCTGATTTCCATTAAAAAAACAAGAGCAATCAGAAGAAGCTCTAGTTCATCACTTTGAAAAAAAAGAATTCATTCATTCATTCATTCATTCATGCCTCTCCCGAACGAACAAATTCCAGGAAAATACCAAAACCAACTAGCATTTAAATTAGGTAATAATTCACAAGACCCTTTGGACTGTTCAGGATACAAACGTGTTCCTAAAGTGTCTTGAACAAATTCTAAGAAAACCTCTGCCTCCCACACAGGCACTAATCCACTCCCACTCACCAACTAGAAACTACGGTTTTATGATGTTCAGCTACAGGATAGGCAGAGATTCCTGCAATTAAAGTGATTTGGAGACCAAGAGAAGCTTCCAGAGACGATGGAAAAATAGGTCTGAACTAGTTCACTGCTGCTAGTTTGTGGATTTTCCAGCAATCATAAGCACACTACCAATTAAGCTCAGTGATCATACCCAAGACTATTTTATAGGGAAATCATGATTTCAGGTTCTCGAAACCTTATCTTTAGAGCCACTGCATAAGCACCGTGGATGTTGACTATAAGATGACAGGGAACTTGACAACACTGCATCCCAGTATTTGTTAACTACCACAGTCTTCCTTTGCTGCACTGCATGCACAAATCTTATTACTGCAGTTTCATTTGCTCACAAAGATTCCAGCTGAAAACTCACTTTAATATGACTTTAATAATACATGAAAGAGATTAATCTATAATTGTTGATTTTTGAAATAGCACTTCATTGTGTCACTCAAACTGAGTGCTTCTGATCATTAAAACTCGCGTGATTTTTCAGTGTTTGTAACGAGATTCTGCTTCAGCTGAGAGCTGATCTCATCAGAGCCAATTATACTCTATGGCATAGATGGACCAGAGCTTTTAAGAGCTTTAAAACTGCAATTTAATTTTTCTTATCTTACTGACCAACTCAAAGTCCTAGCAATCTTGTTAGAACCTTTAATATCCAGGAACTAGATGCTTAGCAGCAAACTACTAGTAAAAAAGTAAACAAAACCACATCACTGAATTTATGTTTTTACTCTTAGCACACAAGCAAATAGTTTCTCATTCCTTTTCCCAAATCAAAGGGCTTCTTTCAAAGTGCTGTGGGATTAATCTGCCCTAATCTAGCATTAGATATGTAGACAGATTAAAAATCTATTTATCTTAGATTAAATGGGGGTATCTTGAAATAATCAAACTAAATCTCCTCAAGAGTGTGTGATTTCTAGCAATTAATAAAGAGCTGTGTAAACTCAAAGAGACAGATACATCTCCCATCAGATATGCCACAACACTTCTACCATTAACAGAGCCACATGAATGATTTTTATCTTATTTTATGCAAAATCTATTTTTTTGCAGAAATCCTTGATTTTCATCTCTCCCCTTTAGTGGCACCTACATTCCAATCACATTTAGAAAGGAATAAAAGTGCTGAAGCCCTCACTACATTTTGCATTCCTTTATTTTTCTGCATCTTTAAGATGTCTCCTTGCTCTGCAGTGTAATCAGTGCCCAGCCCTGAAATGATGGCATTAAAGTGAAGGTTGCTTAGAAGTTTCCTGCAACTCTCCAAATTAGGATGGCATTACACCTTTTAATAGGTGCATTAGCATCTTCTGCAATAATGCACCAAATGAAAACTAATGTTTAGACACTAGCCTAGAAACTGTACCCATTGTAAAGAATGTCTGTAAATAGATTAGATCCATCTATATATTAGGATTAGTTTGCATATCATCAATCAGAGCTTCACTGCCCATGAATTTAAGTGAGAGAACAGCACTTTACACATACAATTATTATACCATTACTATCAGTATTTCTCTAAGGATGTTAGATATGGCCTCTGTTGCTGCCCTCAGTTAACAATAAGGAAACTGAAGCACAAATTAGTTGATTCAATCAAGTTCACTAAAGTAGCGTAATTCAGGTATCCCAAGTCCAAGGATCTCTCCATTGAGTTACACTGTCTCTTCATACTCTCTGAAATTGTACAAGTGATGCAGGAAATTGAAGATTTCCCTGTTGAATAATACTCGGGTAGTTCTGGGTATTCACAGATCATTAAGGTGAGGGTGCTATTGAAGAGCTTTTCCTGCAAGGCTAGGTTGACAGGGTGGCCCCACAGTCGTTGCCATGACAATGGCTGAATCTTTGCAATGTCATTGCCCACACTTCAAATGAAAATCTGTGCGAGTTTCAGAACACTGTCCAATGCTGTAAGAAGTCTGACAAGATCCCAAATCATCTCCTAATCTCCAATTAAAAAGAGGACCACACATGTAGGAAGGGAATGCTGATTGTTTGTGATTTTACTTGCACTAGAGCTGAAATACAAACCTGAAATGCATAACAATTTTTCAGTGAACCTCCCAATTTTGGAAAACTACAAGTACTACTCACTATAGACATGGGGGAATACCATATTCAGAAGACTGACTATGATCAAAGACAAAAAACCTGAATTTATTCCCTGCTGTCACTCTCTAATTCACTGGAACACTGAAGAACTACAGAGATGCCAGGCAAGGGAAAACGTTAGTGATACACACACTCACTCAATGCATTTTGTAACTCCTTACATTCACATCTAGTGCAAGCGATTTGAAAATGGACTTCTAAAGGAAGAGAGCATACACTCACCCCTCTATGGAGTTACAATCACCTAACACCAAATCACAGGGGTTTCTTCAAGATTCCACCGATTCAGCAGCTTTATACAAAAGCTAGTTATATCCAGTATTGAATACCAGATAAGAGCAGGCACTGACACATCCATTATTTCAATTAACTGAATACAAAACAAAGAGATCAGACCAATGTGCTCACATCTCAGGTTCCTTTAAGAGCCTTCAGCTCCCAGACTACTTGTTATTTCCAAAAGCACAAACATTAGCATTACCTTTTGCTGCTTCAGACCGCTTAGGCAAATCAAGTGTATCAAAATTCCTGTCCAAATCTCCATTCTTCTTTCCTGTGCAAAAAAGAGACAACAGATGGAAAAGACTGTCAGCATATTGACAGGTAAGTTACTGTCATGTGCATCTACAAGATGAGAGAAGATACGGACTCAGAATATAAATCCCAGACTACTACCCCCATTCGTACATATCTGACTTGCAATCCAGCTGCAGAGCTGTGGTTTAAGCATGAGCAATTTAGGGACAAAAATCTACTTTCAGGTTGATCCACAAACATTCTGAGTGCTTAAAACCTTGGAAAATCATGCCATTTCCTTTCTTGGCAAAACTCAGAAGGCCAGTATTGACTTCTTGTTTTCAGGGGAATTTTGACCTGAAGCTTAGCTGAAACAGAAATTGAGCAGCAAAGCAAAAAACAACAGACTTGCTTTGCAGCCTCTCTATTCTCAGTGCGACTATCAGGCAGGAAGGCCTAGATTTAATATATTGTACAGACAGCAGCCAACACATTGACCTTGATTTCCCCTTCAATCAATACAGTGCCATTTTGACTATTTATTAGAAGCTAATGAAAATAATTCCATACTTTTGCTAAGAGACAGTTTCAAACCACAACATCAGCTTTAATTTATACAGTTCTTCATAGAAAGCAGAACAAAACCTGGACTTTAGTTTTAGCTGGGCTGGGAATCCGAGGTTATGTAAACAGCTGGGGAGGGAAGGATTAATTTTCATCCCGTCTTCTCCCCCCAAGGAGACACACTGCCATGGGTAAACCAGTACGGATGCTGTGGGATAACCAGGCATCAGAGAAGTACTGACAGCAGAGAATGATTTGGAAAGAAGTGCAGGAATCTGCATGGCTTCTGTGGACACCAGTGTACAATTTAGCTTTCCCAAATTATTCTGAGGGGGGAAATCAAGTTATTTAGTCCCTCTAACTCAAGAGCAGGGAAGGCAGGGGCGGTGGGATGAATTGTTCTGAACTGGTAACCATTTAAGCTGCCAGAGGCGGCTTCTGAACAGGGACTCTACCAAGCTGTTAACGGAGGTTTACAAGAAGGGCAGAGATCTCCACCAGTCAGGATGCTTAAAAGCAAACAGGAAAATGGTCTTTGAAAATGCAATGTGGAGATTAGTCTGACCCTTAAATGGGATTAGGTCACAAAATGGGAAAGACCAATCCCTGCCCTGTTACAGCAGGGAGCCCATACAGCTCCTGCACAGTGAATTCAATGGGCTACTCTACCTTTCCACTTGACAAGAGGATGAATATATGCAGTGAAGAAATAGAGCTTTTAAATACCAATGGAAATATTTAGAAATAGCACGAAGAGGAAAAAACACCAAACGTCAAGGTAGTATTCCATCCTTTCCCTTTCTTTGGGAATATCACACACTTCGTTTTGAAATGCCAACACTGCAAAAAGACCAGCTAGCTTTAACTACTGTGCAAAACAAAACATGCATCTAGAAGTTCTGTTCATCCGAAGTAATTTGCTTAATTAAAGTATGAAAAAGCCCATCGAAGCTGCCAAAAGGTCATGCAACCAGGTACCATGCCACTCCGTGGAAAGGTATCTTTTCTAAAGGAAGGGACAGGAAATAGCTGCACTTTGGAGAACTCCATCAAGTTTTTGCTCCATGAAAGAACAAGAAACACGTTGCTTGGGAAACCAAATACCAGAAAGAAAAAATGCTGTGCATCACCAAAGGACGCTGCATTTCATAATGGCAGCTGAACCCGGTTACTGTCTGCAAACCCTTGCTGACTCTTAGAGCATTGACAGGAAAAAGCAGGGCACAGGGAGGAAAAAAAAAAAAGCACTGAAGGAAGTCAGCGTTTAGGAAAGATTACAGACTTAAGGGAGACCAATAAATATGACTCCATCCTATCTACAAGTAGGACAAACTGTTTTTTCACATGACCCTGAATTTCATGTCTCTGGCATGAGCTAGTTTAAGCCTCGGAACACTTACTCCGAGAGCCAGACCCTATTCAACACAACTACTCATTTCAGTTCTCTCTAATTTAAGCGTTGGGGTTTGGAACTTCTATTAGCCCTGCAGAATTGAGATGGCACAGTAAGAGGTCCCTTCTTTCTAGTGCAACGTTTGGCAAGCAATATGTATTTGTGCACAACTTTTTAAGGACGGGATTGTCCAGGAGAGCAGTGCTGGCTGCTACATCTTTTCAGGGGGCAATGCAGAAGCAGCTGCCTACTTACTAAACCATCTTTCATTAGGACAGCACACTCCACCTGTGCTCTGTGATCTTCAGTCACTCTTTCCCAATTTCTGGGCCAGATTGCAAATGCCAGCCATCTTCTATAAAGCCTTTGCTAGTTCGTCTCAGTCTTTTCAGAAACTAACCCACCTTGCAGGCAAAACCCACATCTGTTCAAATCAGAAGCTGCCAGCTGTTTACAAATGGAAGCAATTCAGAACACAGAGCTCTGACCAAGGGGGTTTCAACTCTACAAATTACTTGAGCAAGGGCCAGGTTCAGAAATACCTGAGGCGCCTACATTTTCCAGGGCTTTCCTATAGAGAAAAGGTGACCAAGCTGCAAGAAGATTCCAAAAGAAATCCTTCTAAAAGGCAAAGGTTTTAATCTGAAGTCCAGCTGGTATTTTTCCCATTTGATTTTTACAGGATCCACAAATACTGGTTTGCAGTTTCTAAAAAGGTGACCCAATTTAGCAAGTTCAAGAGTCACCAATTACAAATCTTTCAGCCATCCCCTGGCCTGACTGATACCATCAGAAAACCAGCTTCACTGCCAGTTTCTGTAACTCTTAACACCACCCATCTGTCACTCAAGCCTGTCTGTCAGTAATGCTAGTGCACAGGGATGCTGAAATGGCCACACTAGCAGGAGAAAAGAAGTTTAAGATCCTGGTTTTGTACATTTCAACTGCTGACCATCTATGCCTCTCCCTGTTCTCCAAGTTTTGCAGCCCAAGGTATGGCAGAGAAAAGATAATAATGTTGGATCAGAAGCATAGCTCCGAACTTTGCCAAGAGACAGACAGTTTTGAACATGCCTGCTGACAGGTCTGTTTTATGAGACCTGGCTGTAGGAATTGGCAGAGCACTCTGGTTTGGGAAAACTGCCTGACATGAGACTTGCTTGTGCAAGACGCAATTTACAGTCTCTGAAACAGTAGGATTAAAATTCTTTCCCTCTCTCTCCCCCTGCCCCCCCCTTCATTATGTAAGAAACAACCAAAACATGACCTTCGGCATTTTCAATCTGTCAGAAACTCAGTATGGACTTTGAAGTGTGACCCAGTGTTATTAACCACTAATGTTGTTGTTGATCTTCCTCAAATGTCATTTTGTTTTACTGGATAATCAAAACAGCTATTCAGCTAGACCATTTTTGCTGAAGGATTAATTTCCAAATGCTTTTTTTCTGGTTAAAAAAGTTGAAGGGAAAAAGATTCTTCATAACAACACCCCCCGCCCCCAACAGTCAATACTGTTCTTGTTAATTTACCCACTGAACCGAACTGCAGCGGAGCAACAGAAAGCAAGGGCTGAGCTCTGTCTTGCCAACATGCCCATCCTCCCCAGGCTCACCACTCATGTCTGAAAGTAGTGTCTTGCAGAACGCTACTGAGCACCATTTGTTGGGTGGAGCAATTAGGTTTGTGGGGTTTTTTTGGTGGTTTTTGGGGTTTTTCCTCCCAAGGTTTCTCCTTTGACTCCACCTCCAGAACCCACTCATCTGAAGAAAATGTCACAAACTGAAAATGACCCTGCCTTTACCCCTAAGTCAGTCTCAGTAACACACTGGAAGTCTCCAGGGCACTCACAGCCTAACAACTTCCCAGCTGAGAAGCCAGGGAGGCAAAGTTTAGCCACAGCCTTGTGTATTCCAATTGCAATTTTACTCACTGCACTGGGATGAAAACTAAAGGGCATATTCCCCGCAGCATTTACTGGGGGTAGCTTTGCTTAGCTAGTCTGAGTGCCAGCAATAAAGATACAGCAGCCCAGGTGTGTGTGCCCAAGCTAACAATATAGCAAGGATCCCTGAGAATACACATCCAAGCTGTGAAGCCTTCATGGCTACTGCTACCCAGACCAGCTAGCAAAGCCAGCTCTTTGATACAACTGGGTTGGCGAGGCAACCTGCGCACTTAAGTGTTCCCTCTCTCATGAGGTCATCAGGCCAGTTGCAAATGCACCTACACCAGGAATAAACCTTGTCTTTTCTATTTGCGCTGTGGGAAGACCAAATTGCAAACGCTCACTCAATTTGAGGATTTCCATGCCTACTGAAATGAACAGGTGGATGCACTGGGGGAGCAGAGGAGAAGGTGAATGAACAAGACCTTGATCTCAGCTCTTAGCCTTGCATGTAAAGCTGAACAAAGCATATTATGGTGATGATGAAAAAGTATTGCAAAGACTCACCTTGATTGAACCACTCCTCTAATTACCAGAAAAGCAGCAAAAGAAAAACAAAAATTTACAGGAAGGAAGAAAATACAAAGGAATAGTCACAAAGAGGTAGAATTTCACAGAATAGGTTCAAAGCCTGAGTGTTACAAGAATACTACAGAACTTCAATCAATTAAAAAAACAAACCAAAACAAGATATTCCACTTTCTCCCTTTTGTTCCTACTGAAAAAACCTCAATCATTAATGAAAAGGTGCTCACAGAACTGAGGGGACAGGATGATCAGCCCTTTGCAGAGGTGTTTAAAATGCCATGATCAATGACCATGAAATAAAATAAAATAAACATAGAAACACTGCAAGATTAAGAGAACAAGAGGGGAGAACTGATCTATTTTGAAGTCCTAGACTAGAGAAAATTAATGCAGGTTCAGATCACATAAATTCAGTATTCACATAAATAGTGAGAAAAGGAAGCTTCTCTTTGTGATTTTAAAAGCACAATTATTATTGTATTTCAATTTTTATTTTTTAAGTCAAACAGTTGCCTGTCTCCCTCTATCCTTCTGATCTACACACTACCAACTGTGAGCTCAGCATTATTACCAGTTATTTCCCTCTAAAGAATTGCACACTTTAAAAAGAATACTGCAAAAAGGAGGGGAAAAAAAAGTTAAAACATACTTCAGAAATTGTCATTTCCCGCTGAACACACAGAGCTAAACCCAAGCTGCCACCAAGTGCCTGCACTGCTCACTGAAATCTGTGGGTTCATCCTCAGTGTCAGATGATTTTGAGACCAATTTGTCCAAAAAGACATGATCAGATGCTTTGACTGATAAACAGAAACTATCAGGGCATACAGACACAGAAAGTATACGGGTCAGCCCCAGAGGAAAGAGGCAGACGCTTGTCAAAGGACAGCCACCTGAGAGCGCTCGCTTTTCGCTGCCATCAAGAGGATGATGACAGTTCTCAATCAGCACATTTCCCTCCTCCCACAGGGCACACTCACAGCTTTTATGTCTAAAAATGTTTTCACTGACTGTGCTGCTCTCAAGCAGCAAAACAACAGGGACCGCAAGTGGCAGGGAACAGGCTCAAGTCAGTGCATGTTCGAGGTTTCCAATGGGTATCACACTGAAGTTTTAGTAATTCACTGTGAGAACAGGCTGGCCAGCCAGGTAAAATTCTTTCTTTACTCCCCCGCCCCCCCCCCAATCATTAAAAGATTCCCATCGATTTTTTATTTTATTTTAAACACAGTTTAAATCTAGCTGATGACAGACTAGTCTGCAAAACCAAGGTCACACTGTGATGACTTCCCTAACACATATGGAAACACGTAACATTTTAATAACATGTACAGGTCAGATAAAAGGAAGAGTAACGTGCAGCACCCAGTCCATCAAGTTCAAACAATTCCATATTGGCTCTTCAGAACCAAAACCTTGCTTAGACCTAGCTATAAATAGAAAGCCAGGATACGAGTACACATGAATGAGAAGAATGGAGCCTAGACACAAAATGGAGTTAATTATATGTGATTTCAGTCTAGAATAGTAATTTCTCTAAAACAACAAAGAAAAAGGATATAATTTGAGTGTCTCTTTCTAAAGTAGAGATGGAAGGGTGGTTACTGAGACTATTAATCCTCTCTTGTAATGAAACTCATTTGCAACACTCATGCCCCAGAGGATAGAACAGGTCTAAAAGTGACTGACAATTAAAAGCTACAAAATCATGTCTGCAATTTAAATTACTGAAAGAGTGACAGAATTAGGAGGTTGTATATTTTGATTGTGAGTGGGAGGGTTGGCTTTTAGTTTGTTTTCAAATGTAAGAGGCTGAAGGCATGGAAGACGTCCAGACAGGACTACCATGCATGGGGATGAACGCACGCTGGCTTGGCTTCCAGAGGCCACGCTATGGAGCCAAGCAAGCAGAATAAGCATAGATCTGATAGATGGAAGAACATAGCAATGCAGAGGAGAGGCAGAGCACGTCCACCTTTGTCCAACAGCAGAGTGTCATCTGTTAGCATGCACCATTCCTATTTCAAGCCAAACAAAACTATAGCAATCACAGAAAAAAATTCCCAAATATCTAGTAGTAACGCAAAAAGGAAGGTGAACACATGCCATGACACCACAGACACGTACCTCCACGAATTGCATCATTCTAAACCAGCATGATGAATGTGACTGCAAGAGCCCTAGGCCTACACAGCAAAATTTACCCCCAAATCCACTTCCAGTTCTGAGCTCTCCGCAACACGTACCTTTAGCTTTTTTCCCACCAAAACAACCAGCATCGTCTTTCTTTTTCTTCTGAGAGCCTCCCATGCTCGTAGTCTGACTGGCATCTAGTTCTTGGTACTTATCAGCTCCAGGGACCTCTTTGTGGACATGATAGGAAAGGTTCCGCATGATGCACACACAGTTCTCCACAGACTGTTACAGAAAAATTTATGTTATTAGAAATATTGCACCTTCTTATTTGCAAACCATTATATTATGCAGTGGAGGTTTGGGAGAATTTAAAAGAAGACCACCTGCCCCAGGAAAACAGCGTAGCTTTCAAGGAAGATTTAGTCAAGACCCCTCAAATTAAGGTTTGTTCTTGTTCTAAAACCAATTTTATTCTTCCAAAAGTGAAGTGCTTCATAAATAGTACCCATTCAAAATGAAAACTCTCTAATCAAATATACCACCTGATCTTACATAAAGAATACAATTCACCAGAAGATCAAAGACACAGCAGAAAATGATCATATAAGGATCTTATTTTAATACAAGCCTCTCTCTCATTTTTCCAACCTTTACTAACTCCACAGGGCCCATTTTATTAAATTTTCTCTGGGTCAAAACCTAGGTCCTGTGAGGATTTAAATGAGAACACACGTCCTGTAGTAATAGCTAATCCATAGCACATAAGGTTCTGACAAGAGCAATGCTCTGTAGGTTGCAATGGAAACCACCAGGTGGTTACAAAATCCTCTTCAAAAATTATCTGATTAAGTGACAGGGCTTTATAATTCCCTTGTACAGTCCATCACATGGTGGGACTCAAAAAGAATAGAATAACGATACTTTACAAGCCTTACTGGTGTTATAAAGCAATAGTATGCTCTTTCTTTTTTAAGCAGGTTAAACTTATGATATTCCTTATGCATATAAATATGCTTTTAAGCACCACAGGATAGATGATGATAGAAACAGATTATTCAAAATCTGCACCTAAAAAAAAAAAAGCCACAAAGAACGTGCTGCTGGCCTGAAGATGTATCTTAATGTCTAAACACTACAGTCTTTAGAGATGGTGCTGAATAAAGTATTTAAAATGGGAACTGACTCCTTTGCTGGTATTGTGCAAAACATAATACAGTGGGATTCAATTCTGATTTGGAGACTGCACTTAAAAATGTCAATTAAGCAACGCAGAACAATAGCAATAATGTCACTGACAATAATAAAGGACTACTCTCCCCACCTATCACAACCACTCGCCTTTGCTCACCTCATCAGCCACACAAGATAACATGACAGAGAGGAAGATAATTACTATATTTTTCTGAGGCAAGCACAATCCCCTTCTGATACCAGCAAACAGAAGTCAGATCCCAATGCAACAATTCAGCCTAAATTAAAGGAAACATCCATTAAGTTTTAATACTCAAGTTCACCTTATTGTCTGTATCCTTCTTGCCAACTGCAGACTGTAGAGCATGAAGGAGGGCATCCACCAAGCCATCACACTCTCTTAGTCTTCTGCGTGCTTCTGATCCATCTGAACTTACATTCCTAACAGGAGAGATTTGAAAGAAAATTTAGCCCTCTAACCTTCACCATAAAGTTGAAGGTGCATTGATTTATACTGCATTTATGAAGAGCCCATTGCCCTGGATGAACAAGTTGGAGGCAAAGCAGTCTGTAGCCTGAATAACCTATTAAAATTCAGTAAAATATGGGCAATGCACACCTGCAACTCCCTGAATCTGAATGGAAAGGGGAACACAGTCACAGAGGTGCCTATAAACACATTTTTCTGAGTTGCTGGCGAGTACAGTGATATACCTTAAACTGGACAGGAATTTTCAGAGCAAACAATACACAAAACAAAAAAATTAATTTCAAAGCCAGAACTTTAATCTGAAAAATACTTTCACCACCTTAAAAAAAAAGTCCCAACACCCACCCCTGAGGATGCCACTCGTCACTGCTCTCCTCTTGGACATCAAACCATTGACCACAACTCTGAGTGTGACCATCCAGCCACCGAGTGCTCCATCCGTCACATCCATGTCTCTCCAATTTAGAGACAAGGATGTCATGTGGAACAGTGTCAGAAGCTCTGCACAAGTCCAGGTAGATGATGTCAGTTGCTCTTCCTTTATCCACCAGTGCTGTAACCCCATCATAGAAGGTCACCAAATTTGTCAGGCACAGTTTCCCCTTAGTGAAGCCATGTTGGCTGTCACCGATCACCTCCTTATTTTCCATGTGCCCTAGTGTAGTTTCCAGGAGGATCCACTTCACAAACTTGCTGGGCACAAAGGTGAGATCTATTGGCCTGTAGTTCCCTGGATCTTCCTTTTTTCCCTTTTTAAAAGTGGGGATTGTGTTTCCCTTTTCCCAGTCAGAGGGAATTTCACTAGACTGCCATGACTTGTCAAACATGATGGATAGTGGCTTAGCCACTTCATCTGCCAGTTCCCTCAGGACCTGTGGATGCATCTCATCAGGTCCCATGGACTCGTGCACCTTCAGGTTCCTTAGATGGTCTCAAACCTGATCTTCTACAGTGTGTGGTTGAAGTGCTGAGTCTTGGACAACCAGCCCAAGCTAGAGTCGACCTACAGATGAATCCTGTATATTTCATAGCTGAAACCATTGTGCTAGTAGGTATTATACTAAGTTATAACAATGCACTTACGCTGATGTAAAAAGTGCTAAAGCTTTGAAGTACTGAAGCCTGAACAACAGGCCCCAAGCTGAAGCTGCTAACTTAGTCTGTAATCGTTAATAAAGTACGTAAACTCGCTAGTGAAAGATGCACCTTAGACAAAATATAATCAGTAGTGAGGAGAGAATGTATCTAACTTCCCTTGTTTGGCCTTGTTCAAGGCTGAGAACCCAAGTATCTGGCCTTGTTAGAAACTCCCTTGGTTTTCCTCCCCAAGCCCTGGCCAGGCTTTGGATAGAATCCAACAGGAGAACGAAACCAGATGTTTTCCGCTCAAAACAAAGTTGCCAGCTATCCTGGCTTGCCGATCTCTGGTATACAAGGCCGGCCCGTTTGCAGTGACTTTGGAAGCCTCACCTACGGGTGGACGCACCGCCTAGGATTTCCCACTTGCCGGGACAGGCTCTGCAAATCCTCGCTGTAACCGGGGCTGCCAGGGACTGGGGTCTGGGCAATGATAATATATGCAAGTGGTGATGTATTTTTCTTAATCTCCATTCTCTCTCTCGTGTAGTAAGGATTTGATGCATTACCCTGTTTTTTCCTGTTTGCTGCTTTAAGTGCACTACTCTTCTTTTTCTTAATGCATGTTTTCAGTATTACACTGTTACATTGGTTATCACTAGTAAAATACTCCTACTCTTTTCACTCTGGTGTCTGGGTTTAATTGGTATCCTTAATCAGCAGAACAGTGGTTCTTCACCCTCCCAGTCCCTGCCTTTGACTTCTGTAACTTGAGCAGTGTGGCACTAGCATTTGCAGGTGAAGACCAAAGCAAAAAAGTCATTGAGTACCTCAGTCTTCTGCATATCTTGGGTAACCGGGTTTCCTTCTGGAGAGGGACCACATTTTCCCTAGTTGTTGATGCCAATAAGATTGCAACCCTGCAGGCATGCTCATGTCTCTAACTCCTCTTGCAATAATTATTCCCTATGCTATGTGCATCTGCATAGAGACATTTAAGTTGGGTCCCTGATGAAGCTGACTTGGTGGCTGGAATTCCCTTGTGCTGCTCTTCAGGTGCTCTCCCACTAACCTGTGACCCCTTCTCCAGGCTCTGGGCATCTATTGCTGGAACTGGCATCAAACTGGTAGGAGTGGGACAGATTGAGGTTTACTTGCCCTGGCAACTTTAGTTTAAAGCCCTCTTCATCAGCTTGGTAAGGTTATGATCAAATATGCTCTTCCCCTTCTCTGACAGATGGACCCCATCAGCCCCCAGTAGACCGGGTTTCTCAAAGCAAGTCCCATGGTCTAAGTAGCTGAACCCCTGGCTGTGGCACCAGTCCTGTAACAAGTTGTATAAAATGGTTCTTCACTTTCTTTGGCCCCACCTGCTCCAGTGAAATCAGATGAGAGTCACCATGTGCAACTGCTGTCTCCTTGATTGCTCAAAGGTTCGCCAAATCTGTTCTGTATCCCCAGCTTTCTGACTGGAAATTACTGCCACCCAGTTTAAATCACGCATTTTGACATTTAAAGCCCACCTTTCACACTGTGTACAGCAGATTCAGCACAAAGCCTGGATCAGAGACATTTAGAAAGTAAAAGGTGACAGTCAGTATGTTTATATGGCTTTAAATTTCTCAAAATACTGCACAAGAGAATGGCACAGGCAGAAGATGCAAGACAGAGCAGTGAAAGGCTACTTGGAATTGTTAAAGTCGCACATATCATGACTGCACAAATTCTTAGAGTGTGTCAAGCAAGCATGCACAGTACATGCTGAAGCCCCAGCCTTCCATAAGCATCAACCTGCTATTACCCAATAAATGTAAAATTCAAGTAAATTTTACAAATGTTGCCATTTTGGGGGGTGGGGAATGGTGGTGGTGGTGGAATGGGATGAAGTGACCAAATGATTCTTAGCAGTGCTCACTGGCACCACCTATATGGAAGGTTTTCTCAGAGCTGTAATGCACTAATTTCAACAACACAGGCAACCCTTTCAGCTTTTAGGGTCTTTGAATTCCACAAACCCATGTAAGGTTAGCTCTCAAAAGCTCAGGATACAACCATTACATTCTGCTATCAGAATCGTGCAGCCAATTTTTCTTTTTAACTAACCAGAGGGACTACCAATCTCCAAGTAATTAATAAATCAATCACGGTCCCCTCCCATGTTCCCCCATCACCAGGCAGACTGGCATGTTAATTGGATGACTAGGAAAAAAACAACATTTTCTCAAAGACCTCTCAAAATCTGAAGACACTTAATTGTGAGTTGGTTGCTGTAACAGCACATTAACTTTCAATTAAGAACACAAATGAAATGCACAGATAAATGAATCCTTTTCCAAAATCCTAACACAGAGCCTCACCTCTAGCAATGGCTGATACAAGCAGGTAAAGTGGATATTAAAATATGATTCCACAGGATATATGGAAGAGAGAATCCTGTGTGCTGTTTTTCCATCTTCAGTTGTACTAATCCTTTTGTATTAAAATCTGAATTTTAATGTAAAGTCTTTATGAAACTGAAATTAAGAGTTCAAATTCTCTGTGATACCTCTCAGGAGTTACAACAATAAACGAGAGTAGCTCCACCTTATAGTACATCCATTGAAGTGGAACATGACTTCTTAAGCCAGTGACAGCAGTGCACTAAAAATGGTCTTATCTGGAGCTGTTCACATTCCCTCATTAAGTCCTAGAAATAGAGCGCTAAAACACATAGGAAACGCTTGCGGACTTAAAAAAATAAATCAATCAAATTTTGTCAAAATTAGTCCTTCACACCTTTCTTGCCCCATGGTCCATTCATAAGAGATTCTTCTACGGTCCATTTGTGCTACCACACTTTTCCTGGTTTGGTTACAGCATCACAGTATTTTGTATTCTGCTTTCTTATTTCTTGATTTATATTAGGATTAAAGTAGACATTAATAAGGTTGTAACTGAAAAAGATGCTACAAAAGTGCATCAGTAAGAGTGTGGCTTGCTGATATCACTTGCTGTATCTTCAAATATAGAAAAATTTACTGAAAATTAATGCCTCAAGAAAAAATTCCCACATATATCACACATAAATAAGCATGAAAACTCTGCAGGATCAAATTAATAACTAATTAATGCTATGAATAAGTTATCCAGACATCAAAATTTGCAGTTTTAATGTTGTAACTAACATATCAGAAAATACATCCTTATGAGCATCTCATGCAGAAACATCTGCTCTATAAATACCCAACACCCTCAGGCTTCTGCTAGTCCTCCCTCTTTGGGTAATGAGATTCTGACAGCCCATGGGATTTATCTAACATGGAACAACAAAATCCATTTCCTTGTTTGTAACTATAACCCAGACCTACTGGAAAGCTCAGCTCATGTTCTTCTCCACAGAAGCCTAGGCAACAGAGATCTCAGAAAGGCAAAACCCAAGGAGATCAGCACCTGGTTCAGAGAGTCTGCTCTTTCTGCTGCTCCAACACAGCAAAAGGCAGGGAAGATCTCCCAATTCCCACTGGAATATCTGCATTTCAGATACACCCACAAGTATGCCAAATATCCCTAAGAACTAAGCAAAGGTGGGCACAAGTGAAAATGAAGATGGTATGCCTTGAGTAAGTTCTCATCTGGCAGTCCCAGGACAAGTGCTCTCAGGGTTGGTTTCTATGATCCAGAGCAACCTTCAAAAGCTCCTGCAACCCAGGGAAATGCCAGGTTGCATTTCTGCCTTGAGGTGTTAAGGCTCTATACTTATCTACCTCCTTGAAAAACACCAGCTGGTAGTCATCAGTCAAATTCACATCTTTGCTCTTCATAAGGGGCTGTATTGTGGAAACAGAAGCTATTACATGGACAAGAGAGCTAGTATTTGTCATTAAAAAGGCCAGAA